TTTAAAGCAGCATGTGGAAGAGATGTGTATGAATTTAACACCATGACTTTTAAAGAATTTTTCTTTTAAAAAAAAAAATAAAGGACAAGTCATTTCATATTGTCTGATCAGATCCTTCAGCCACAACAATTTTATGTCAGAGCAAAGAGAGTAAGTAAAATTTTTCTGCCTTTTTATTCAGTTCATGAATATTTATTCAGTACCTACCATATGTGTGCACATACACATATCACAAAATTTTAATCTCTATGATACTTGATTAGTAATCAAGGTTGTTCTCACTGTTATATTTTAAATGGATGACCAACAAGGACCTAATACATAGCACATGGGACTCTGCTCAATGTTATGTGCTAGCCTGGATGGAAGGAAGATTTGGGAGAGAATGGATACATGTATGTTTATGGCTGAGTCCCTTCACTGTTCACCTGAAATGACCCAGATAACCACGATGGTGTGGTCGCTCACCTAGAGCCAGACATCCTGAAGTGTGAAGTCAAGTGGGCCTTAGGAAACATTACTACAAACAAAGCTAGTGGAGATGATGGAATTCCAGCTGAGCTATTTCAAAGTATAAAAGATGATGCTGTTAAAATGCTGCACTCAATATGCCAGCAAACCGAAAATTCAGCAGTGGCCACAGGACTGGAAAAGGTCAGTTTTCATTCCAATCCAAAAGAAAGGCAATGGCAAAGAGTGTTCAAACTACTGTACAATTTGCTCTCATTTCACATGCTAGCAAGGTAATGCTCAACATCCTTCAAGCTAGGTTTCAACAGTACACAAACTGAGAAACACCAGATGTACAACCTAAATTTAGAAAATGCAGAGGAACCACAGATTAAATTACCAACATTAGTTGGATCATAGAAAAAGCAAGAGAATTCCAGAAAAACATCTATTTCTGTTTCATTGACTATACTAAAGCCTTTGACTGTGCAGATCACAAAAAAATGTGGAAAATTCTTAAAGAAATGGGAATATCAGACCACCTTACTGGTCTCCTGAGAAACCTGTATTAAGAAGCAACAGTTAGATCCAGACATGGAATAACAAACTTGTTCAAAATTGGGAAAGGGGTACATCAAGGTTGTATACTGTTACTCTGCTTATTTAACTTCTATGCAGAGTATATCATATGAAATGTTGGGCTGGATGACTCATTTCCAAAGAGCCAACTTACTGGAAAATACCTTGATGCTGGGAAAGATTGCAAGCAGGAGAAGAGGAGGGTGACAAGAAGTTAAGGGGTGACACAGGATAAGGGGGTGACAGAGGATAAGACTCAATGAACATGAGTTTGAGCAAACTCCGGGAGATAGTGAAGGACAGGGAAGCCAGGCATGCTGCAGACCATGGGGTCACAAAAAGTTGGACATGACTTGGAGACTGAACAGCAGTAACAGTCACAACACTGTTAATTGGCGATAACCCAATTCAAAATAAAGTTTAAAGTTTGGGGGGGTAGTAATCAAGATTGCTCAATTTCTATAAGAACTGCTGCTGCTACTGCTAAGTCTCTTCAGTCGTATCTGACTCTGTGTGACCCCACAGACGGTAGCCCACCAGGCTCCTCTGTCCCTGGGATTCTCCAGGCAAGAATACTGGAGTGGGTTGCCATTTCCTTCTCCAGTGCATGCATGCATGCTAAGTCGCTCCAGTTGTGCCCAACTCTGTGCAACCCTACAGACAGCAGCCCACCAGGCTCCTCTGTCCACAGATTCCCTAGGCAAGAATACTGGAGTGGGTTGCCATATCCTTCTCTGTCTATAAGAACAGGTAATGTTAAAATACTAAATTGGATCATAAAATTAATAATTGTACAGTAGCAAATCATACATATAGGTTGCCAAGTGTTATTGTGTTATTCACAAATAAGAAATTCAAATAATCAGCAACAAAAAAACCTCTAGGGATGCTTTTTAAAAGCAATTAAGAATTTTCATTCTGTCAAGACTGCCACTTCTTTCAACAAAGATATTATCTTTCTGAAAATGGCAAAAATTTTCTCATCATGTGTATGTCTTCTCTGTGGACCAGGGGGTTCTCATATGGGGGTGATTTTACCTCCGAGGATATATCTGGCATTGCTTACTTTCTTTCTAGTTTTGTTGAGAAGTAACAGACATACCTCACTGTGTAAGTTTACGGCATTGTGCATGATGGCTTGACTTAACATATACTGTGAATGAATACCACAGTATGTCTAGCTAACATCCGTCTTCTCATATAGATACAACAAAAAGAAATTTAAGAAGGGAAAAAAAATTATTCCTGTGATGAGAACTCATAGGATTTACTCCCTTAGGAACTTTCCTACACAATACACAGCAGTCTCAGCTATAGTCATGATGCTGCCCATTACATCCACAGTGCTTATTTACCTTATAACTAGAAGTTTATACCTTTTGGCTTCACCTGTTTGGTCAGGGATGCTGCGATCTATGATACACATGACAGCCATTCACAACAATTAACTGACCCAAAAGATCAACAGAGCCAAAGCCAAAAAAGCCCAGTCTAGACTATGAGATGCTAGAAGACAGGAACAAAGTCTTACTCAAAAATATACACTAAGTATTTGGTAAGGTCAGGTAATAACTGTTTGGTGAAATACACTGACACCAACATCTAATTCCTATCCCCAACCCCTCCTCATCTGTGTGCATAAGAAGGCAGATGAACAATCCAGCATCCAGAAAAGGGCTGGCTACAGCACCAGAATAAAAGTGAAACTGACACTAGCAGACACACATACATTCACTAAACAGACATAGTAAAATACTCCATCTAGACTTAGGTCAGCCGAGATGAAATACTACATGAAAATACTGCTCTTACTTCTAGCTGGATGTACACTTATTAGATTAATTAAACTTCAAAAGAATATGCAACATACACAATCAAGGTGGCAACCTTTGCCATTTTTGGAGGCCATCATCAGATTTCAGATTTCTAGATACAGTTTCTTGACTGGCACTGAAATGATCCATGCTGGCCCTCCCTGTTGTTCCATTAAAACCCCTCTGAGACTGGTATTGGTGACAACAGATCACTAAGGACAATCTGTAGACAAGAGGAGCCAGTACATAGGTCCTTAAAGGGAAGCACCAGGAGCAATGACCACTTATTCCAAGGGGCATTAAACTGATAACAGAAACCATCTTTTAGGAGAGAGACCCAAAGGTGGGTGTTAAATGTAGTGCTGGAATTTTTACAAATACATATTACTTGTAAATCAGAAAAAAATTAAAATGTAAGACATTTGTTAGTATTTGTCACACTAAGCATTACGTTTTGTAGTATGTAATGAACTCAACATTTTTCTTTATAACCTGCCTTACAATCCTAATTCTGGCCATTTTTTTGTTTATTTCTTTCTTATTGGTAGGTTGTTTTTCCCCCAATGAAAAATATTTTTTTATAATTTTTAATGGACAAAACTAATGCATTCTGTTCTAATCATAAAGACCCAAACAATATCCACAGATAGAATATGTATCAACGGAATAATGAAAACAAGTTTATGTAAGTAAAAAGCAATAGAGGAAAAGCAGTTTGCACATAAAATGTAATGTGATATAGGATTTATTGTATTTTTTCTTTTTTCTGTACCAATTTTTCAACCTTTGAGGTGTTAAAATGTTTGCACTCAAACTGTACTTATAAACAAAGTATCAGCACAGTAAGACAAAAGAGAGGACAAAAAAAGGCTACAAATGAGATTTCTTGAAATCAAGTAGAAACAGCAGTCTGCACAGTCACAGAAGACACTACTTCTGCCTCTCTCTTCATGTCAAGGTTAGTTTTTCTTTTTAAACTGGTGATCAAGATATAAGGTTACAAACATTTTCCTTTGGAAGTTCATGAGCTGAACAACCTTACTCTCTTCTGATAGTCACCATGAGCTTTAAAGGGCCATTTAAATGCCCAGTTATTTCCATCTCATTCTCAAAACTTCTATTACCACACTCAGATCATGTTGGCAGATGATCTCATATCTGCCAACAGTAATCATCGGGCCTAGAAAGGGCCACATATTTTCTAGCTATGTGAAATTCTTAATGGAGCTATAATGAAAAATAACAGTGTTCACTGAAAGACAGGAGAATAGATTCTAAGTTCCTGAGACAGAAATTCAGAGACAAAACACCCTGCTAACCAGTGGGGGAGAGACTACTAGTAACAAAGAAACACTCAGGTGGAGAGTTACAGCTCAGTGTCTGAAATAGTGGAAAGACCCCAAGTTAGAAATAACAAGGACTAAAGAAACTGTAGGGTATTAAGTCTACTTGTAAGATGTGCTTCAGCACTTTAAAGTCATGCAATTTACCTTTAGGAAAAATTCTCATTAAATATGAAATATTAAGAGCCTGAACTAGTAACCTGTTAGCTCACAATTTAATAGAACTCCAAGATAACTTTAGTGTTGAGGACATTAAAGGCCTACCTTTTCATGAAATAAAGAAAAAACAAAACAAAAACAATCTAACAAAGAGAAACAATGAGAAGATAACCAGCCAGAGAGTTGGACAATTTAAATGAACTTTGTTGGTGAGAAAACCCCTCAGGAATAATCAGTTTCTCTGCAAGTTTCTTGGTGAAGAGATGATGAAATCAAGTTAGATTCATTTTTCTAAGTCAAGGCCAACCAAAGACAGGCAAGAGAGAGAAAGACTAAGCAATTAAAACAGAGATATTTGGATAGCTCGGGTCAGTTACTAACAAACTTCAGCGATCACCTTGAGATTGAAAAGTCACATAAATTCATGAAATGCAGTATTCCTTTGCCTCACTGAAGACATAAGTCGTAGAAAACTATATGCACACTTACAACACAATAGAAAAAGAATAAGTACAGATAAGTAATTTAGGCTAAAAGGATAAAAAATGTAGAATAATTCAAAGAAACTAAGAAAAAAGTATGTGCATGAATAGATATATTCAGAACTTGAAATTAACACTAATTTATGAGGGAAAAAAAAAGTATTGGCACTCACCAATTTTAACCTCTGTAAAGGTATTCTGCCTACATCTATCTGGGTCCTTTCTGGGACATTAGTAAACCGGACTTCTGGGACTGCAACGGCACACATGACATGGGCCCACCTACAGGAAAGGAGACAGAAACGTAAACAAATGTTCCCTAAACTTAACACAGCCTGTACTTCCACCAGGAGGTGACAATTCACATGCATGGGAAACACACAGATGAGAAAGCAAGCCCAGAGCACCTATGTCCATCACAAACAGACTCTCTGAATTTTAAAGCTATTGGATGATACCTGGAGAGATTCAGTGCCACACCTGCCCACCACGGTGACATGAAGAACTAGATGAAGACCAACAAATACTATTATTGTATTTATATGTTTCTACATATGACCTGAAAAATACTGAGATGCACATCTGCTATTTCACTTGACACTGAACTATAGAGGTGTTTAATATACTTAAGATAATTAATATGTGGCAAAAGATTAGTTCAATTAATAAAAGGTATGAAAATGAAATGAGTATACCATATAATCTTTTTACATAATTCTGATGTCATGAAGCAAACCAGAATAAATAGCAAAAATTCTCTAGAAGAATTAATGCAGATTAAGTCTTTCATTAAATTGTTTCTTATTGCAATCCTGCTATAATCAAAGGAACCAAGAGATAAGGGGAAATGAAATTTAACTTGTTCCCTTGTTTCCTTCTAAAACTCTTGTGCTCAGTTCAGTTCAGTTGCTCAGTCATGTCCGACTCTGAGACCCCATGGACAGCAGTACGCCAGGCTTCCTTGTCCATCACCAACTCCCAGAGGTTACTCAAAAACCTTGTGTATCTCCTTCCAAATTCTGAATCACTCCAGAAAAATGACAACATCCTCATTAACACTATTAAGTTTCTAATAAATCTTATGCCTCAAATAAACATAAAGACTCGAGGTTTAAAGAGATTTTGAAAGAATTATCAAATTTGTCAACTTATTTTTAAGTCAAAGCATGTTATTTCACTCAAATAACATAAGACTCCATCCTGCCTTTAGAGACCACCAGGAGAGAGAATAAGTATCAACCCAAACAGGGCACTCTTTCATATCTAAATAAACATTATAATTCATAGCAAACATTACTTCTTTTTGTCCTAGTCCAGGGGAAGGAAGAGAAGTCTTTATCGCCTCCATCTTTACAGGAACCGCCTAAATCATCTGGCAGTCTGCACCACTCATGTAACAGTCCCAGAACCAGTCAATAGTTTTTAGCATAGTGCCAATCACATTAACTAAGACTAAGAGATGAACATCCAAAATCAAGCAAATACACAGTCTCTTAGACTAAACTTTACCAACATAGAAATGATAAATGCCTTTATTCTCCCTTATAAACAATCAGAAACATGTGTGCATGTACATGATTACATGACATTACATTGTATTACTCCAGGAGTCTCAACTGCAGTGTCCATCGGGCCAGGCAGAATGAAACCAAATAAACATATACTGGTAAATCATGGTAACCTAGAGAATGCCTACTCTCTTTAGGCCAGGTTATGACTGGTTATTGTCATATAGAGATGCACAATCATTTATCAAGTAAAGATGAAAATCTGGATTTTATATAACTCTCAACTTTTAAAATCTGAATTAAATTAAAAAATGGTGTCAGTCAAATAAAACATATCTTTGGGCTGGATGTGGCTCTCAAGTGCCATAATACAACCTATACCTAAATCATTTCTACAAGTTTCTATTTTATAGGAACCTATAATTTGCTTTGGCCCCATCTTAAATGATTAAATTGGGTCATAAAGATAAAATTCATGCAAAAATACATTTCAGCTACTGCCATAGAAACGTTACCCATCTTTTTTGTTCACTTATGAGTCTCTTCATATTTTCCAACTGTCCCCTTTAAACTGTAAAATCAATCTTTTCTCCCTATGTTTCTATTTTAGAATATACACTTTCTTATAAATTTACTGGTGTTAAAAGTAAATGATTTTGTTCTAATGCTGATTATAATTGATTTTATTTATCTAAAGATAACAGATTTCATTGTTTTCAGGCATATTCTGCTTTTATTACAACAACAGCATTCATCAAATTAAAAACAAGAATTCCAATGGCACGAGAATATGGGCTGCCTTCAAACTCTGTTAGTGAAAGAGGGGTTACTCTTTATGACGTCAAAGACAACAGCAGCAGCCTGAGAACACCTTCACCCAGTGGAGGTGCATGTGCTGTCAGTAATGGTTTCTGGAAACATGTACAAAATCTCCACCTTACACCTGAACGGCAAGAGCTGTGGAACAGGGTGGGAGGGAGGTTCAAGGAGAAGGGGACATATGTATACTTATGGTTGATTTGTGCTGTTTTATGGCAGAAACCAACACAGCATTGTAAAGCAATTATCCTCCAATTAAAAATTATTTTAAAAAAAGACCAAACATTTTAACTTATTAATAAAAACAAAGCTGTGGAACAAACCGTGTACAACAATGAGAGGCAAAGCACACTATAAACCCAGAGGTTCAACACTCAACAGAGGAGAAGGAAATGATGAAATTCCACACAATTAACACACTACTTACTTATTGTTCTTAGTTTCCTTAAGCGCACCCCCTCTTAAATTGCAGAGACAGCACTCCTAGGGCAGAAACAAATGTCACACAATTATTAGAGCCATGTAATAAATGTCAGCACTATTATCCCCATACAGTCTAGTTTTTAATTTTAAAATTAAAACTATCAGTAACTTCATGAAGGACTATCTCTTAACAGTTCAAGAAGGGAGAGGAAAAAGAGAGATGGGAAGGTGAGAGACACCCGACAGTGTTCTGGGTGTGTGCATCTCCTGGAGGGAACTGGCATTATCCTAGCATCAAGAACGCCATTGCTGGGTGAACCTGTGACACAAGAAACTGGTGTGTGGAGAGGTAGGTGCTAGAATTCTACAACAGAGGCACACACATACAACTCGGTTCCCTTTAGTTCTGGGAATCCCTTCCTGTATACGGGATGGCTAAAAAGCAGAGTCCTGGCGGGCTTTGTTCTAATACAGGGATAAGCAGGAAGCTCTTTATAAGAACACTCTTTACAGAAGTATCACTTGGGTCTTTTGGTTGGCAAATAGTGCTGGAAAAATTATTCTGATAAATGCAGGCTTTCCAGAAAAACACAAAACAGTGCCATAAAATGTATTCCTTTATCTTCCCCACATTAACTTTATATTTTTGGCACTTTAAAAAAATAATTGTATTTATTTATTTATCTTTGGCTGCACTGGGTCTCTCTTGTGGCGAGCGAGGGTACTCTCTAGTTGTGGTGCATGGACTTACTGCTGTGGCTTTCTTGTTGCGGAACACGGGTCGAGGGCATGCTGGCTTCAGGAGTTACTGCGCATGGGCTCAGTAGTTGCAGCTAGTGGGCTCTAGCACACAGGCTCAACAGTCGCGGCACACGGGCTTAACTGCTCTGTGTCATGTGGGATCCTCCTGGACCAGGGATCGAACCCATGTCACCTGAATTGGGAGGTGGATTCTTTACCACTGAGCTACCAGGGAAAGCCCTCTATTTTTGGCATTTTTATGTGTCTTAGATTGGCATATACTTTTCACTCCAAGATGACTCCCTTTACATAATAAAGATATACTTATCACTTCTCATTACAATTTTATGAAAAACTCCATAAGAAAATATGGCCAAAAAGTAATGCAATGCCTTCTGTTGACCTAGAATTTTTAACTAAATATCTAAGCAACTTTTTTATTTTCAACCTCAAGCTTATACTCCCAGTTTACTGCACTAGTATCTTTTTTCAATAGTTACAGGTTATTTGGTGTTTGTTTTTTTTTTCCTTCAAGCTGTCTATATAAAATTTCTTTATCTATTCTCTCAGGTGATCTCCCTTAAATGATTTTGACAGCTTTGCCCAAGCCTGTGAAGATTAGATCCCTCTAACTTATCTAATAATAATGGGGTGTCAAACTCTGCAGCATTTATTTTTCTGAGAATAACACCAAAACTACTGAGGAGAATCAACATATCTATAGAACTCTTAATAGGGAGCAAAAAAAAAAAAAAAGAAAGAAAGAAAATACCAGAAATGTTCAATGGTTTTATTTGTCTGGGAAGTCTCTACACATTGATTTGAAATTTCCCTGGTGATTATTAAAGGTTCACAGTAGCAAAAGCTGCCCTGTGGCCATCTGTTTGAATCCATCACAAACCCAGCTCAAGAACGTGATGGAGAATATTCTCTAGTGCAAAGCCATATTCCAGGGGCCTTTCAAAGAACTGGTTTTGATGAAACACACAATAAAAGGAAAATTTTACAATCAAAATATTGAAAATGAAAAATAGAATAATTTTAATTATTCAATAACATCCAAATTATTCAGTAACTATTTCATAAAATGTTTTTAACTTTCAGTATTTTTCTAGTAATTTAACACATTTTCTACAGAGAGAGAATGAAAATAAAAACAAAACACAAGGTCAGATACTTTCATTCAATATAAAAAGATGTGAGTATGAAGTGGGAATATGGGAAAGGAGAGTTGTAGACTGTGAGGAGTACAGACACTGAGAGAATTAGTTATCTGATTAATGAAACTATTAGTGAGAAGAAGCCTAAAGGGACGAGCTGGCAGAGTTAAAACAGCAAAGCAGCATGGAGGCTGCTCCATACGCCTGATTAGGATCATGAACAGGTACATGCACTTCAGAGCACGCCTACAACAGGAGGAACATCCTGTAAAGTGGAGCCTGTAGACCCAAGACGTTAAGTGGAGTTGAGAAGACTCTCACCTGCCACAACATGAAACTTGCTCTTTTGGTACCTCCCGCTCACAAAATCAATGGACAATTCAAAGGCCGTGGTTCACCTAACCTCTTGGCAGCATTCAACATAATTGATTGTGCCTGAAACAGTTTCTTCCCGTGGTTTCTATGACTGGACACTCTCCTCATTGTCCCCCATCTCAAGTTGATCCTTAGCTTTCTTTTACAGGCATCTCTTTCATGCTCCTTAAACACTGTAATTTCTGTAGTAGGGCCTATTCACTCCTCTCCATACCTGTTTGCTGGGCATCTGATCCACTACCTTGATTCTCAGAAGGTCACTGACTCAAACATTTAACTTCTGTCATGTCTGACAGTCCACAGGAAGCTCAAACATATGTGCAGGACTGAACTCATATCTTCTTCCCAGAAGCTGTACTCCTCCAGCTTCCCAGCAGTGGCATCAACCAGCCATTCTAGCTCAGGCTAGAAGGCATAATCTTCCTCTCATCTGAGACTGAATCAATCAAATTCTGTAAATCCCACCTTCCATGAGTTTCCCTCTAAACTGAACACACCCTTGACATTTCAAAGTAAATGCTGATTCCTCAAGGAGGGGCCTCCTAATCCCCTGTTCAGTCACTTCCCTCTTGTTACTCTTGTTCACTATTTATTGAATTCCTTCTGCTGTCCTCACTAAACTGTTAGCTCAGTGAGTGCTGGCAGAAATTTGTTAGGTGACTCTTTATAACGACACCCAATAGAGAGAGCACCCTCCATAAGAATTTGTTAAATAAACGAGAAAATACGGCAAAATAGGCAGAGCGAAAATCCTGAAAATCATCAAAGCGTCACAAAACTGCAAAGACCGTGTTCACATACTGGTGGGAGTACTAAGGAAAGAAAACTTCAGGCTCCAGTGACTTAACATGGAGTTAAGAAACAGTGATTCGACAAAGAGTTATTTTTGCCATGATCTGCTTGACTAGAAATCGTATTTCTTAGTAAAGGAGAAAAAAAAATCTGAGGCCAAGTAAAGCTATTTTGATCTACATGATATTATATGATACCATGGTTTCTGCTTAATTCACTTAATTTGAAAAAATAACTAGGAAAGAGTAAAATCATGTCCAGTTATACCATTTTTCTTTTTTTGACTCACTGTTCCTCACATAGGTCAAACAAGCTGGTCTGATAGAAACATAAAGATATCAACCTGTCAAGTCATTCATTTGTAAATTAATATGAACTAGGGCTTCCCTGACAGCTCAGTTGGTAAAGAATCCTCCTGCAATGCAGGAAACCCAGGTTCAATTCCTGGGTCAGCAAGATCCACTGGAGAAGGGATAGGCTACCCACTCCAGTATTCTTGGGCTTCCCTAGTTGTTCAGCTGGGAAAGAATACGCCTGCAATGCAGGAGACCTGGGTTCAATCCCTGGGTTGGGAAGATCCCCTGCAGAAGGGAAAGGCTACTCACTCCAGTATTCTGGCCTAGAGAATTCCAAGAAGAAGAACTAGAGAGAAAAGAAAACTCTCGCATAACCCCAAATCCAGGCAGCTGCTCTAAACCAAAGAGAAATTTCCCATATTTTTAAAAGATGCCAACCCAGCTGTGGAACCTAGACAAATGCTAGAGTCCTTATAGTGCCCAGAAAACAGACACTGTTGAAAGCAAGGTCCTGATCCCACCCTCCAAACACCTGACATCAGAGTGGGCTGAATCAAACAAAAGCTAGAATACAGCTCAGACCCTACTCAGGTACAATCAGGTTGACTTCACCTCTACTCTAAAAACCTGACAAAGGGGCACCCTCTTTCTGGAAGTAATAGTAACTTCATTCACTACAGACAAAATGTTCACCACACAATCAAAAAGAGTACAAGCTATACTAAAAGCAAGAAAATATAACATGATCAAGAAAGTAATCAATAAAATCAGAAGCAAGACAAACAAGATATTAGAATTATTGGATGGGGTTGAAAAAGAGCCAGACACAACTTAGCAACTAAACAGCAGCAACAAAGAGAAAATAACAACCTATTCAATTTACTCATAATTGGATTCCAAGAAGAGGGAAACGATAATAGATGAAAAAATATATGTACTTGTAGAGATAATGGCAGAGAACTTTCCAAAGCTGGTAAAAAACATCCACAGAATCAAGATGCCTAGCAAACTGCACGCAGATGAATACAAAGGAAACATACCTAAATACTTAACAGTCAAAACTCTGAAAACCAAATATGAAGAACATATCTTAAAAGCAGAAGAAAAAAAAGACATATTCAGTAAACAAGTATATGAATTCCATCTGAAATCCAACCAGAAACATTGGCAGCAAATGGCAATGAAACAACATCCATAAAATATTGAAAGAAAAAAGCTGGCAAACTAGAATTCTATTTCCAGGGAAAATATCCTTTAAAAATAATCTCATAGAGACAAAAATCTAAGAGAATTTGTCTCCTAAGAATCCACACTATACAACTTCTAAAAAAAAAAATCTTCCAAATGAAGGAAAATGACACCAGGCTGAATCAGGAGTGGCAGGAAGGAATGAAGAACACCTAAAATGGGTTAGTATAAAATAAATGATTTACAGACTTATACTCAAAAACAGAACTAGTAAAAGAAATTGTAGGCAAAAATATTGATGAATTTAGGATAAATGGCTTGTTACCATAACATTTAAAAAAACAAAAGACAGGTAGAAAAGATAAATTTTGACTGTATCAAAGTTTTAAAATTCTAAAGGATAAAATACTAAAAAAATAAAATAAAATTCTAAAGGATAAAATACTAAATAGACATAAAACAATTTAAAAATTTCCAATATAAAACAAAGATTATTATCAAAAAAATA